TCCTGCAGAGGGGCAGAATTTTAAATATAGCTCTCTCCTCAGCATTTCCTATTTCCAGCCTTAGGCAGCTCTCCACATGGTTCTGTTTTTTATGAATCCCATTTTTAGGCTAACTCACTTTATGTAGGAAGCCTAACTTCATGGTGTGGGGAACCTAACTTGGATGTTGTTCCACTAGGTTCTTAAAAGTTAGGTGTTGCAGTGCTCAGCGTTATGATGCTTATATCCCCAATAAAGTTAGCCTGAATGTTTGCTTAGAAACAAACAGCACAAAACAGCATACAACTTCCCTTTTACCTATCTATGAACTGCTTGACATAACTGTGGTTGCTTTTTTCTGAACTATATGTGAAACGTGCAAAAAAACCCCAACAGAATCACCACCAAGGGATTTGTGGTATATCACATTTAACCAATCCAGACTGACTAATGAGCAGGCCAAACGAACTGTTTGATGCAGTGTGCAGAGCTAAAACTTTTTAAGTCATCTGAACAGATTATGATCAGCTCACTGATATCTTGACTGTAGAAAGGGATTATATTTGTTGGATACATTACCTGTTAAAGTATAAAATCTTTTCCAGAGCTGCATTCAAAATACCAGGCACTGAATAACCTATTTTTGAAACCTTCTGTTATGGTCTGATGTTGAAAACCAGTTAGAATAGGCAGTGGCAGAAACCATAATTACTCACAGAAATGACTGATTGGTGCAGCATTCTTCCAGTAAGCCATGGATTTAAAATGTATAAGTGAGTCTTAAATTGTTGTTCCAAGAGATTTGAAACCATCAGGTTAAGTGGCAGAAAGTAGAGTACTGTTATTGTATCCATCAAGGGTTCCTGTGAAGCAGATTCTTCAGGGGAGATACTGTGATGAGAGCTGAAAAAGAAAAGCTGTTTCGCTTCCCTTTCTTTCTTGTCACTAATTATGCTAGTTTCTACAAGGATGCTCACATTCTCTCCTACTGTAGCGTGCCTTTTCTTTTAGCCTCTAATGATCTTTATATCACAAGGAAACTTTCATTCATTAACACTTTTAGAGAAGTCCAGGCTATAATTTTCAGAGTCTTAATTCAATGGGATTTGGGAGCCTAAAGCTACCTACCCTTAGGTTCCTTTGAAAAACGGAGAAACTAAACCTGGCCATGTGAAACTGCATAGTCATGTAAAGTGAAAAAATCAAATACAGATCTTGAGTTACTTCTCTCTCTACTGTCTCATAAGTCAAGGTCTCTATATGGCTGTTCTACCCTAGAGCCTCAAGGTCAATGACTTAACTTTTATCATAGTGCAAGCATGATGTTGTAGCTGTGCGATGGTCCAGAAATTAACTTGTATTCACGTGGGCACTTTTGGTACTTAGCCAAGCAGCACTTATGCTTCAAATTACATCCACTGATGGGCCAAGTGTATGTGTGTGGAAGCCAGGTTAGGAGCAACACTTGAATTACGCCTTTTGCTAACACTGCAGTGAAAAGAATTCCAAAGTGAATGCAAATTACATCACTATTTATTTTGTAAACCTGGCAACTTGGATTTCACATCAGTGTCTGTGTATTAAACTCTATTGTAGAAGCTAATATCTGTTTTGGAAACTTAAAGAGCAGAATCTGACCTAAAAACAGGCTTCTATCTTTATACTTCAGTACTTAACACTACTTTTTTAGCAGCTCTCATCCATGGCTCACATTAAGGACTATGCTATTTGCGCATTAATGGATATTTCGTATGATTGTTCCAGGTTCTTTTTAATGTATCTCATTAACAAGGATGAAACTGAGCACACTGGTCAGGTAAGCAGGAAACAAATTTTTCAAAGCAGTACAAAATGGACATCCATTTATATGTTCTGTATGTAATTTTAATCTTGTCTTTATCACATTATAAACCATCTCCTCCCTGCACTCTGAGATACTAGTGCTAGGAAGCTGCCACCAATAGATGATTCAGAATTGAGGTTACAGTCTATAACACTGGTGATCTTACAGTCCCATGGGATAGATGGGTGGCATGGGGTCAGTCCATGGGATGGATCCCACAGGGGTCACATGTGGGGCCAATCTTTGTGCAACCCAACATGTCCAGATCTGGCCATGTGTTAGCCCTACCCCACATGCTGGGAACTGGCAACATGCTACTGCAATCTGGTGCACAGGGTCATGCTCTCTGGCTTCCAGGGCTCCCCACAAGTCCAGACATTTGAAAGCAGAGAAGCAGCAGTTAACACTGCCACTGCTCCCCACACATCAATTTTTTGGACCCTGGGCAGCCTTGTGGACCAGGCAACATGGACCATAGGCCACATCTAGCCTATGGGCCAAGGGTTGAGCACCTGGTCTGTAGTATATAGCAGCTGTAGTGCTAAAGTAAGTGGCTGTGGTAGCAGAGAATATATGACAGATGTTCATGCCATTACTTTCAAAGGAAATTGGAATTTTGCCAAGTTCATATAACGGGGCACTAATACTTTAATTTAATCTTAAAACCCAAAGCTAAAGTTGTATGTTATTATGCTTTCATCTAAAACAAAATTTAAAAGAGTTTGAAAGTAGAAGAAACCTTAACAGTAATAAAATAGCTGAGCTCTATATTAAAGAGTAGTTACTAAACTGTTATATGTCTATTTCATACTACATGGTGTCGATCTTCAAGTTTTTAAAAAAAATGTATATATATACACCAACTAACTGCCCATCAAGTATGACAGATTTCAGGGAGTGTTTACATGGTCCCCTCTTGCCCTTTGGGGCTGGATATGTAAAGACTCCCTCTGCTGCCACCTCCTCTTCCAGGCTTGGGTGCGGGGGCTCCCTCCCCTGCCCACCTCTGCCTTGCAGTGGGGCTTCCCTCTACCTCCCCTCCCTCATCCTGTCAGCTGTTGTCAGGGCCAGGCAGCGGGGGGGAGCACTGCCACCATGACCCCCCTCCCCTCCCCGCTTCCCTCCCTTCCTTCCTTCCCTGCAGCCT